ATCCGCAGTTAAGTCTCCGTGACCCTGCCATTTCTGTTCACCTCGCCTCAACTACCAAGAGCTCTTCTTCTATCTTCTTCAATAACACTCCACATTGTCACACTGTTCACCCAAGGGAAGAATAAATACCTGGGGACACCCTGCCCTTCCCGTGGGGTGCCCACCCTGAGCAGCAGACCCGGGGGCTCAAGGGGCCATGGGACCTTGCCCTCTGCAGGGGGACCGAGGCCAACTCCAGAGCCGCAGCACGTTGGCACAAAGCTCTGGTGCGGCTGGGGACTCATGGCACTGCCTCCTAACCCACCCACTCCCAGGAGGAAATTAGTAACTGTGAAGGGGAAGAACACGAGAAACATTTAACCTAAAATCAGCTTCCTAGAGCTAGAGGAGCCTCTGAAGCCAGAGGGGGTTTCACCAGCAGTATCACCTCATGCAGCAGCCTGGCTAATAACAGGGGACACGCTGATGCCACATGCAGGATCCCACCGGCCGCTGGGCAGACAGCTCGGCCCCGTCCTGCCGCGGTGGACACTGTCGGCGCTCACCAGCCCCTCTCACAAACAACGTGGAGTAACTCATCCCTATCTGCCTGACAAGAGGGGCCACGTCATTCTCCCAGCCCTGTCTTTGGTTACAGGAGTGCAGCCATCCTGGTCTGGTGCCTATAAAGAGCTGTCTCTGGCAGGAAAATGTTACATTGCACAAATCCTTGGGGGAAAGAAAATCATTATGGTTTTTGTGGTATTTATCAGATGTTCAGAAAAAGCCTGATTTCTGGAGCAGGTGGTCCAAAGGGGAAGGAGTAGAAGCCAAGCATCATCAGCCTCGCACCTCCACCTCACGGTCGCTGCAGTGCCTCTGCCTCTCCCCAGACCTTGTCGGTGCCCATGCTCACACCTCCCAGCCCGCTGGGCCTGGGGACTGCCGTGAAAACACATGTGAACAGGAGAGAACCCCCTGCCCCAAGCTCCTGCCCAGCCTTTCCACCAGCTCCCATGAAGGGCATCCCCGGGGGCAGCACCCCAGGGCTGCTCCGGCTGGGCAGAGATGCCCCACAGCCGCCTGTGCCCAGTGACGCGTGCGGCTCCGG